ACAAGCAGGGGGAGTGGGAGAAGGAGAAGCAGGCTTCCCGCCGAGCAGGGAGCCCGATGAGGGGCTGGATCCCAGGACCGCGGGATCATGACCTGAGCCAAAGGCAGACGCTTAATGACTGAGCCACCCAGGTGCGCCGCTTTAAAAAGTTTTTAAAATACAATATACTAAGATACGTACAGAGGTCTAGAAGAAAGACAGCACAGCATATTTGAGGCAATGAAAGAAATCCAGTTTGGCCCATGGAAAGGGGCCTGCAATAAGGTCAAAGAAATAGGCAGAAAGAGGCTGTTAGATATGACTTTCATCTTAGTTCAGTAAAAACCTTTTTTGGGACTTTAATACAAGTCCCCTGACTCTGAGCTTACTGTATACCATGGTTGCCTACTCAAGGAATCCATAAATGTTTTCTCTGCCAAGTTACAAAGGCAATTGTCAAAAAATAATTGTGCCTTATACATGATATTTGACTGCAATGCTTCAGTGTATCAAGTCATTTCTTGTAGTTTCAAGGTGCTGGTCCATTTCCCAGATGCCTGCTTAACTAAACTTCTTTAGGTTCTCCAAATGAGGACACAAATTTCTCCAAAATATCCTAAATTTTGAGTGGTCATTCCCTTTTGTGAGGCTACCTGGCTGACTACTCCTTCAATGATCTTGAATTCCTTCTGCTCTTCATTGATCCCTTGCTCTAAAACTGGGCCTCTTCAGTCAGGCATGTTTAACTTTTTTCAAGGTTTCTAGCTATTGCTATGTCTGGCAGCTCTCATATGTGATATATCTCTCTTTATAAAGGGTAGTTCTCTCAGGACCTGTAGTCTCCTTGGTCCTTCCACTGCGCTAGTCACCAGGGTCAAGGGTCAAGCTAAGAGATGATTCCATGGCAGTTGGCAGCCCTGACAGCAGGCCAGCCCAGATAGAGGAGTAGCAGGGAGTAGGATTTATCTTCTCTGTTCCATAGGTTACTTCAGCCCCACCACGTCCAATGCCTCTGCAATCACTAAGAGTTTAGACTTTGCTTGTCCTCCTGTGAAGAAGTAGCCAAATCAGAGAAGAGCCATGTGAGATATTGCTGGTTGTCTCAGCTTGAAACCCCCACTCGCCATGGTGAATGCATCACTCAGAAGTATCCAGGCCCTCAACATGTTCTTCTCCTCCTGGGCCTTAGTCTTCATGACGATAGGAATCCTCATAGAAGAATGGGTTGAACTGACATGGGAAACAAAGAAAAATACAATAAGCCACAATCCCTGGATATGTTGTACCCCTCTTTGGCCAGAAGGTCAGAACTACACTATGGAAAGAGATGGGTGGAGAGGGAGGGTTCCTCTTTCCTTGACTTCCATTTATCTCACCAGCTTACTCATTGTTCTCTGGGGCAATTTCCTTGGGCTGCACTGTGCCCAGTTCCATAATCAATGGTCAAGGCTGACTCTCAGTCTCACCATTTTGCATATTTTGGGGAAAAGTTTAGAAGGTCATAGACTTAATTGCTGAACATCTGAGAAGTGTTGGCAGGAGCAGCAGGGTAATCAGCGCATCTAGAACATGAGGGCATAAAAGAAAGGTCATTGGCAACAAGGAAAATATCTTGTATTGCCACTAGAGGAGGACAGGATGAATTGCACTGAACAAGAAATCTGTTCTGAGAAAAGAATAGAAGAAAAAGAAGCTTATGGAGACACCAAAAGAGAGAGCAGTTTCCTCTGGTTCTCTCCCATTCAGCTTAAGGCTCCCTGCCTCTTTATTCTTTCCCCTTGTCCCTCTTTATTATTTAATCAAATCTTTTTACCTCATTCTAATTTTTACCTAGAGATTTGTGGTCCTCAGGTGGAAATGAGCCTAGAAGAAATCTCTGTCCTTCTCTCAACACAGCTTCTGCTTTCCAACAGATGGCCTGGAAGTGGTCAGGATCATGATGATTTTGGTTCTCAGCCTTTCCTTCTTCCATAACTTGCTCCTGGGTTTGGAATTCACTTATCTGATTCCTCAAACTAAACACATCTTCTTCATCACTGTCTTCCTCAGTTTCTTCACAGGTAACTTCCTGGTTCCCCTGACACAGGCTTGGAGAAAGACTTGGTTTATGGGTCCAGGCTGCAGCCTTCCTAGTTTTTTGGCTCAGAGATGCAGCTTCTGAATTGGATCTACCACTGAGGGGGATTGGTTTTTGGACAAGGTGCAGGTGGACAGGGTGGAGGCTTGGAAGTCAGGCATATCTTGGGTTAAGGCTTGAGTAGAAGAGCCAAAGTTCCTCAGAAGGGACTTTTTTTTCCTTTTGTCTGGACAAAAGGTATCCTTCTGCTCTGTGCACTCCTCCTGTATCAGGAAAAGCTAAGGCAAGGTCAATCCGTGTACTACTCTAGTTACAAAATCACCTGGATCCTTTTCATTGCCTACTTAAGCGTTTGCCTCTTTATGGCCTCTGGTGAGTATATTCAGGGCCCCTGATGGGTGATAAGAATCAGTCCATCCCTGATAGAGAGGAGAGGAAAAAAGGATGGGAAAGGGGCAAGGGGAAAATGTACCAACCCTTGCGTATTAAAGGCTAAAGTTCAAGTGGACTCACTCTCCGAGGACAGTTCTTCCAAGGGTAGAGTTGGAGATTAGGGTTGTGTGAAATGTTCAATAAGCTTGCTCCAAGGTCAGCTCTCATTTCTGCCATTTCTACAGTCTTTCACCCCCTCCCCACTTCAGGACAGAGAAAACCATCAAAGTCATGACTAAGGAGAGTGGCTGATATGGAATGTTTACTAATGTGGAGAGGGACAGGTGTCCAGTGTGGTGCCAAGGCACTTTGAGGTCAGAGACAAGCAATTTCTGATGTTAAGAGGCCACGTGCCAACACTGGAGACTCTCCTTTTCTTAAAAGTATTTAAAATTTTGTTTGGAATTGCACTTACAAACTTAGAAGCACATCTCCTTTCAAAATGAGTCTTCGGTGCTCTTGACGGTGCAGCATTTAAGCTATTTTGCATATGCTTCTCATCTCTTCCACTAAAGTCTCCCCCTCCCCAGTGGTTTGAGGCAGTTCAAAGGGACCCAGTGGGCTTTGGGTAGGGGTCTCTCTCCTGACACAGAGGGACATGTTTTGTGACTCTCCGTTGTTCCTTCATCACCTTCTCTTTTCCCTAGGAATCCTCTCTTTCCTAGAGTGCAAGCAGTCCACCAAGGTTTGTCCCTGCGTGACCCTCATCCGTATACCTGAGAGAGAACATCAGGACATAGAGGAATCTGAGAATTCTTTTAAAGTTGTTTCCTCACCAGATGCAGCAATGCCTCGTAGTATTATTCATTCAAGGGAAGATTCTCCAAACAGAACACAACTCCAAACACGTCGTGTAACCTGGGCTCTATGATTTGACATTCGATCTTTCAGTATATACTTATCTTAACGGAAACAGCTTTGCGGGTCATGTGCTGTGTGTGTCTACAAACGTATTGTCTTTATTTGGCATTATTTCACGACTGTGCCTGGGTTAGTGTCTGTAAGAAGATCCAGAGGGTGGCTCTTTTTTTTTTTTAATCCTGGCCTGCCGAACACAGTTTCTTCTATTTGTTCTCACCATTTAATAACATTTGTTATTCATATAATAAATATTATCATATAACTAATACTTGCTGTACTGTTAACTCTATACATCACAAAGATTTAAATAGTATAGCCTACCCCTTGTACTTTAATGTGAAATATTTCAAACATTCAGACAGAATACAAAACAGTATGATAAACACCTATGTACACATCACTCAACTTTACGAAATTTTAACGTTATGCCCTATTTGCTTTAGATGTTTTTAAATTAAATTTTTTTTAAAGATTTTATTTATTTATTTGAGAGAGAGAGAGAGTGAGAGAGAGAGTGCAAGAGGGGGTAGGGTTAGAGGGAGAAGCAGACTCCCCGCCGAGCAGGGAGCCCGATGCGGAACTCGATCCCGGAACTCCGGGATCATGACCTGAGCCGAAGGCAGTCGCTTAACCAACTGAGCCACCCAGGCACCTGTTTTCAAATTAAATTTATAGATAAAAGTGATATTCGTCGAAAAATTTCCCTAATCTCATTTCCCTCCCTTGTTTCTTTTCACAAAATAATTTTAATAATGCATTGCTGATCACTTTACATTCATGTCATTTTTACAACTTTATGCCTCTTTAAAAATTATACAGATTAGCTTTCCAAGTGTTCAAAGATTATTAAAAGTCAGACCGTACAGATTATTTTTCTGCAACTTGTTTTTTTTTTTTTTACTCAGCTATATGTATGGTTTTGTGATTCATTAAGTTTTGTTCTACTTCATTCATTGAAACTACTGTTAAGTTTTCCGTTGTAGAGATATAATGTAAAATACTCATTCTGCAGTTGATGAAAATCTAGTTGTTTTCTTTTATTCTGTTACATAGACTGCTGCTATAAACGTGCTTATACACAGTGTCCATGAGCTAGAGTTTCTCTAGAGTATTTATCTAGGACTAGAATAGCTGGATCAGAAAGTGTCTTCATTTTCAAGTTACCTAAGTGTTGACAGAATGATGTCAAAAAAGGCTGCTAACAATTTATACTTCTGCCAGCAGTCTATGAGAGTTCTAGTCTCTTTGTGCCTTGCCAACACTTTTGTAATCAGCCTTTTTTTTTTTTTTTTATCTCTACTTGAACAGTTGCTGAGTTTGCTCACCTTCTCATTTCATTATTGAGCTTTTGGATTTCCTCTTCTGTGAATTGCTGTTTGACCATTTTTAAAAATGAATTGTCTATTTCTTAGTGATTTGTAGTTCTTATACATTGGAAACTAATACTAACTGGTTGTGCCTTGGGTTTTAACTTTGTTTATGATGTCTTTTTGTTTTACAGAGGTGTTCAAGTGAAATGTAATACAATATATCAACCTTTCCCTTTTAGTGGTGCTTCATTGTGTCTTGTTTAAGAAATCCTTCCTTACTCTTTACTCTTACTGGAATAATCTTTGTGAATTACATAAGGCATAGATCCAATTTTATCTACTTTCCATGTGAATATTTATTCAGAACATTTTTTATGGCTTAATTCCTTGTCTTATTGATTTATAACCTAACTCCTACATGTATCAAATACATAGATGTGAGTCTGTTTCTGATCTCTATAGCATATTTCATTGGTCTATTTTTATATCCCTATATGGCACAACAATCTTAATTACTATAGGAAAAGAAAGTGTTGTTTAATATGTTCAAGTGCTTGTTCTTGTTCAAAATTATCTTGATTTGTTCTTGGCCTTTTGGTCTCCAAATAAATAGCAGGATTAGCTTGTATAGTTCCACAAAAATGATTCGATTAATAATCATATTAATTTATTAATTAATTTGGGAGAATTAATAATGTTAATAATATTTATCCATCCAATCCAAAAATATGATAATATTTATTTAGGGCTTCTTTCATGTCCTTCAACAATGTTTTGTGATTTTTTTTTTTTCCTAGAGAGATCTTTTGTTAGGTTGATTCATAGGTAACTCGCAGTTTTGTGCTTTTGTGAATTGAAATATTTTATAATATTTTCTAGTTGCCTGTTATTGGTGTAAAGTTGTTGATTTTTGTATCTGGAAACTTTACTAAACTTTTGTTTTAGGTCTTATAATTCATCTATATACTCTCTTAGGTTATCCTTGGAGGAAAACATATTGTCTGCAGAAAAGATGTTTATTTCCCCCCAGTACTTATATCACCTATTTCTTCTTTATTGTGTTGTCTTATTCATTGGCTCAGACTTCCAAGATAAGGTTGAATGGGAAAAAAGATAATAAGCATCCTTTCTGTGTTCTTCATCTTAATCAAAATGCCTCTATAATCCAAATAGTTGGTATTATATGCACTGTAGAATTTGGCATATTTGCCTCATAAAATTAAAGGACTTCTTATATATCTCATTGGCAGAGTGAATTTACCAAAAGTAAATGTTTACTTTATTGAAAATTTTTATGCATCTACTGAAATATCAATTGATTTTTTTTCTATTCCAGTAATAGAATGTATCTTATGTATAAATTATAATTTGTGGGAAATTCTTCTGTATTTTATTGTGAAATATTTCAAACATATAAAACAAAGTAGAAAACAATGTAATAACCACCTGTGTAGTTATTGTCTAAACTTATAAAGCCTTAACATTATGCTCCATTTGTTTTAGATTGTTTTAAATTCAATTTGCACTCATCGATGTCCCCATACAAATTTTCCCAAACTAATTTTCTTCTCTTGTTTCTCATTGTTAAACACTTTGCCTTCCTGGGAAAGTCCCTCTTTAGTAGTGTTATGTTTGTCTTAATAAACTGCTGAAATAAATTTTCTAATTATTTTAGAATTCTTGAATCTATCTTTATAAGTAAAATTTGGCTACAGTTTCTCTTCTTGTATTCTCCTTGCCCAGTTTATTTTATTTTTATGTGTTATTTTCTTATTTTTGTTTTGTTTTATTTTGGAAGAAAGTTTGAATAACCTTTTTTGAAATATAACATGCATATAGAAAAGATCACAAATGGTAAGTGTATAGCTTTTTAAATGTTCACAAAGAGAACAGGCCTGTGTAAAGAGCACTCAAATAAAGAAACAGAAATTCACAGCACCCTAGAAGTCTCCTTCATGCCATTTGAATACAATATTTCACATTATCATCATAAACTTTTATTATAAATATATTTTAAACTCCATAAAATAGCCATCTTAGAAGAAAACATAGGAGGCAGTCTTTATAACTTTGGATGCAGCCATGATTTCTTAGTTATGACACCAAAAGCATAGGAAACAACAGAAAAAATAAACTGCATAAAAATTAAAAACTTTTGTAATCAAACACTATCATGGATACTATTTGCGAGCTACTGTTCCAAGTGCTGGAATATTATGGTGAAGTAAACATACAAGGTCTCTACTTACTTTTGGTGGGTAGGAAGTAGCAGATAATACAGAAGTAATTAAAAGAACGAATGATAATTACAGATATAGATACAAGCTCAGAAAAGGCAAAAGGGACTAATAAGTTAAAAAAAGAATTAGACTGACATAAGACTTCTCAAACACAACTTACAGATCAAGGCATGAAGCAACATTTCAAGATATTAAGGAACAAAAAGCTGAAATGATGATTTTATATCCAACCAAGCATGCCTGCAAGTATCAAGGCTATTGAAAACAGTTTTAAGAATGTGAAGAGCTCAAGGAATTCTTTATTTATAAACCACTTTTGATGAATATACTAGAAGATGAACTTCATGCAATAAAGAGAACTGCAGGAACACCATTATAAATACTGATGGTAAATATTTAATACATTTGATTGCAGATCTAAGACAAGAGCAAGTTTGGGATGATGATAGAACAATACTTTTTAATATGAATATAACACATGTTATGTGTTGTTTGTTCTGAAAAAAAACTAGAAGCAATGCCCTAAAATAAGGAAGAGAGAAAGGGGAAGAAGAAAGTTGAAAAAGCTCATTAACTGTTATATAAGCAATAGGTGATATTTAAGGGATACCATTGAAAACTGACTACCACATAGTCCAAAGGTAAATGCGAAGACAGAGGAATAAGGACTTTAAAATGGCATAAATACCATTCATCAATCAATGAACACTTGAGTTGCTTCTATATCTTGGCTATTATAAATAATGCTGCTATAAATGTAGGGGTGCATGTATCCCTTTGAATTAGTGTTCTTGTTTTTTTGGTTTGTTTTTGTTTGTTTTGTTTGAATTAGTGTTCTTGCATTATTTAGGTAAATACCCAATAGTGTGATTGCTGGATTGTAAGGTAGTTCTATTTTTAACTTTTTGAGAAACCTTCATACCATTTCCCGGAGTGGCTGCACCAGTTTGCATTTCCCACCAACTGTGCATGAAGGTTCCTTTTTCTCCACATCCTCCCTAACACCTGTTGTTTCATGTGTTGTTGATGTTAGCCATTCTGACAGGTGTGAGGTGATATCTCACTGTAGTTTTGATTTGTGCTTCCCTGATGATGAGTGACATTGAGCGTCTTTACATATGCCTGTTGGTCATCTGAATGTCTTCTTTGGAGAAAGGTCGGTTCATGTCTTCTGCCCATTTTTAATTGGATTATTTGTTTTTTGGGTGTTGAGTTTGATAAGTTCTTTATAGATTTTGGATACTAACCCTTTATCAGATATGGCATTTGCAAATATCTTCTCCCATTCCATGGGTTGCCTTAGTTTTGTTGATTGTTTCTTTCACTGTGCAGAGCTTTTTTATTTAATCCCAAAGTTTATTTTTTTTTTTAAAGATTTTATTTATTTATTTGACAGAGAGAGAGAGAGCACAAGTAGGCAGCGCCACAGACAGAGGGAGAGGGAGAGGCAGACTCCCTGC